TGACTGATATTTCTCTGTAGGTTTTTTTGTTTGTTCAAGATGGTCGGAAAATGTCGACGGGTCCCTTTCTACATAATAAAAGAACAATATACATCGTAAAATAAAAAAAAATTTGTAATATATGTAAAATCAAAGATAACGTGTAAGGATATATAATAAGTGTACAAAATAATGTAATTTCAGCGCAACGTAGAAGCACTTATTTTAGTAATATCATAATATTGATTTACTTCGTGCATTTTCCCGGAGAAAAGGATTTATTCATGGCGACTTACAGTACAGTAGTATAGGCATTCTTTATTCTCCGTTGCGAGGAAGGCAGGGGGACTTCGTAAAAGGCAGCGACCCGAGAGCAGCTAAGGTACGGAAACGGAGTCAGTCTGGAAGCTTCGAGCTTATCCTCCATTAACGCGGTATTCGCGGCGGTCCACTTTGTCAGACCTTCCTGCGCCGACATTATTTTCAATTCCGGGCCCGATCCGAAATTTTGACAGAGCCATAGTGCGCGGCAAGTCGACCGTGTGATAGCCTTGAGATTACCGCGACTCGTCGGGGACTCGCCTCGGCGATCTCGAAAGGAAACGGCGCTCCGTCCATGGAAATGTCAAACTAATTTTGCGAGATTCTTTTTCTGATTAGGTACGAGAAATCTGCGGGTTATTCTTCTGTCGGTTTACGGCTCTGTCTCTCACACTAGAAAAGGAAATCACGCGAAGTCTCGCATAGGTTTGTCGCGCGAGAATTTAATGGTTTAACTTCAAACTGACAAGAACGCACAGTGCGCAAATTTTATATTTAAAATTACGATTTTTAATCAATTTCATTAACGTTATAACTGAATATGTTATGAGAGGGATATTCTCTGCTGAATGTTCGAGGTGAAAAATTCCGTCGAGTAAAATTTAATTGACACAATCAAAAGCGAGGCAATATCCACGAGCGAATATTTTTCGTGGATGATGCCGAACGGTAAGACGGTTCATGCAGGACAAAGCAAAACTCGCGGTCTCTTTTATCTTGGATCTATTTTAAGATCTGCTCGGCGTTGTCCCTCAGGTGCTAGGGGAAAGTCTACGCGAATAAGCGAACAGTGGAAAGGAAAGAGAGAGAGAGAGAGAGAGAAAAGTAAAGAAAGAAAGAAGGAAAAGGAGGGAAAACCCCCTCCCTGTGAAAAGAAGAAGCACTAGGCGCCGCTCACGGCTCCTCCGTTTTGACACCAAACGAAGACTAGCTAGACGGAACCTTCTTAAATGCAATACTAGTAAAACAAGGCATAAACAGTGAATAGCCGTATCCTTGAGGATTATCTCTCGACAGGTCGAAACTGCTGGGAGTGATGTGTAGATGAAAAGAAATTGCCGCGAAACATAAGACGGGAGGAGGGACCCTACCTGAGTTTATTCTCGCGTTATGCGTCGGGTCGAGACTTTACCACAAATCTTTCCTTTACCGGGCTTACTCGTACAGTTATTCTACCGAAATTTTTCTCCTCATTTGCGTAGACCACCCGCTGATATTAGTGACGCGATTAGGTATACAGTATTAAACCGGCTTTGTACTTTGGCTTTGTACTGTTCACCGACTGACCCTATTACCGACGACCTAACCGCCGAAATTTATTTGGATTTCGAGGAACTTTTGTCACTCTCGTACTAGCTTCTGTTTGCGTTTTTGTTGCAGTACTAGCTTCTGTTCGCGTTTTGTTACAGTACCGTTTCGCGATACGTGCACTATTCGGCTCTATGAGAGAAAAACCTAAATAAAATCTCGATGAAATAAACATTTCGACAAAATGTTAGTGTTCATTTTTCTACTTTTAATAGATTTCCTTTCGCAAAAAAGGAGATATCATTTTTTCCTGCTTCTTCAGGTATCAAAGAGAGAGAGAGAGAGAGAGAGAATTATAAAATAATACATACATAAATCTGCAGGAACACTATTAATGATCTTCTCGCTTATTTAATTTTTGTCAAAGATTCAAAATACCACAATAATAAATTGATGCACATGGATATCCATTGGAACAATTCCCTTCGTCTTCAGATAATGTCTCAGTCTCCACCTTTTTGTGTCTCTATGCTCGTATAGCGAGCAGAATGCACCTAATCGACGACAACAACGACGACGACGATGAAGCCATGAGTGGAGTGTCGCCCTAAAACAACATCCTCCCCTCGTATGCGCTACTATTGTACCGCGTCCTCGTGCAAAACGGAATCCGCAGTTGCACGGTTGCCGATTGTCAAGGCGGACAATTGTATTTTGATTCCGGTCCCATTACCAGCCGTTTAGGCGCACGTTTGCCTTCTTGACAAAGCGACTCGAATCTCTCTTACTCGAGTCCGCGAAACTTTCCGTAAGTGCGCGCCGCGGAAAAGCGGTATGGCTATTGTCGAAGTCTGTATATTCTCCCCCTTTGCCTTCCCCGGGAGACAGTTACGTGGGTAATCTTCTCTGCCGACATATTGCGTCAAAGCCAAAACGACGCACGGTCCGACGAGCGCATTCGTCGGATCTACCTCGGAGCGGCGAGCCAAGTCGAGGGTGCAAACGTGGAATTCAGGCCGCGGCACGTCTCAATCTGCGCAGAAAAATTCTTCCTCTCGTCGCGCGCGCGCTCACGGCTCATGCCTCTGCTAAAGTTTGAAGAGAGATTACGGAGATTGCGTTGTAAAACAGTCGAGAGCGTACAAATACTCGTATCCGTGGCAAAAGGGACAAACGAGTTTCGCTGTTGTTGACACACAAAATATGTTCGCATGTAATATAATATACAAGAATGGTATAAAAATGTACCGAAATAGTATAAATCCGATGTCAAGACCGGGGAGTCTCCCCGTGTGAAAAGATCATCAGGATCATTGCGCGTGCGCGATTCATTAGGATCATCGGAATACGCCTCGAGTGTCTCTCGCCCTGTTCGCACTCCAAACTATACCTGGTGTAATCTATGAAGATCGAGTCGGGAACAGGAGCGCTCTGCCGAGAGCGAGGGGGAGCGCGATACTCATCATCGAGAGGTCCAATCTCCGTGATATTGCATCGGTTATGACGGATTCCTGGCGTAATTCATTCGAGCGCAGGAAGAAGAAAATGCGCTCCAGCCTAGTTTCGCGCACACATTAGGGAAAGGGAGAGAATGTGAGAGAGAGAAAGGGAGAGAGAGAGAGAGAGAGAGGGAGAGCGGTGGGAGATTCCGTGGGGATTGGGGCACGAGATAATTCAAGATGGAGTCAGGGAGTCAGGCTCGGCGCATCTGCCCGTTCGCTATTATTCTGCAGCGTGTATATGCCGTTTAACGCTCAATGGCGAAGTTTCGACAAAAGTCCCTCTACCCGAACCTCCTCTAGACACACGCATCAACGGACCTCAACAGCCGCGCTGAAAGATTTCATTCGGTAAACAACGTCCACCTACGACCCTGAGGACCGGCGGATTATCGGCGCGCAGCGTGTAGGGATGACCGGGGCTCACGTTTTTAACATGCTAATTGAAGGGAAGAGATGTATATGCAATATTTCATGAGATTATATTTTAATGTAACTATACACATGAGCTTTTAGAAGAGAAATATTAGTCTCGTGTGTTTGTACACGTAAAGAAAATTATTCGGCTCTGAACAAAATCGTGCGGACGGGACAACTGACGTCCACGCTGAAAGGAGAAAGTAATATTCACTTCCGTTCAAGTAATATTTATTTGACCAAGTAAAATGGTTATTCCATATATATTCCAATACTCTTTGGCAAGTATTTATTTTTTAGAAGTAGAAATATAATTGTCTATATATACACATAATATATCTTATTATAAGTAGGCAATTATTTTTATGTGTCAAAACAATTCCGACAAATAAAAAATTCACAATTGTGAATATTACAATTTATTTCCGAATAGTGCGGATTTGAGTTTTTGTTCCAAGCTCGGATATTCGCATAATAATAAAGTACCCGCACGGAAAAAAAAGTATTTTTCTGGCACAACGAATTGTTAGTTATTTCAACAATTAGGGGACAACAAAAGGATTTGTTACCCGGAGGAAATAATTTATAGTAAAACGTCGTTGCGACAGCTGTAAAATTTAATTGGCGTAATCAAATTTATTTATTTTGTGGTCTACATATTCAGCGAAAGCAATTAATATTCTTAATAAATCTTCTTAACAAATCTTCTTGTTATTCAAATAAATACTTTTGCTGTCCCGGTAACTAACTAAAAGTTTACCGTGGGAACCCTAATTAAAATCACACGTCAATTAACCGAAGCTGACGATTGAAATGCGAAGAATTGAAAATATCGGGGATCCTTAGACAAAAAGGAGATAATTCACACGGTGTCCGGCGGTGGTCGGACTTTCCCTTCGTGATCTTCAATTGTCGTTGAGGAATCGTTAATGCTAATTCATCGGTCTGCATCCGTTCGGCAAGGGATTAACACCTTCTTATGGGGAGAGCCGAGCATCGGCGGTGCGAGAGGAGGTTGTCATGCGCAACGCCACGAGGCGTGTAAAGAAGATGCCTTTCTTTCGCCTCCGTCCGGGGGGTGACTAGGGGTTCTCGCGAAGTGGTACTCGCCCGGTAGTGGGGATGATGATGCAACCGCACAGTGTCGCCTCTGGGGTAGACGGCAAATAGGGGTTAGAACGAATCGCTTCCATCATTAGGTCCGCCCTTCGGCCGAGGGGAGGGAATCCCTCCACCAATCGGGGGTTGTCGTGCGCGTTGCACGCAGCTTCAAAACCGACGGCGGTCGGTGCTCGCTGCCAAAAAGTCTCGACTACGATGACTCTCAGTCATGTTTCATTATGGGGTTAGTCCTCGCTGTGTCCTTCGGTGATACAGTGGATAGTTCGTGAAGAAGGAGCCATCGCACATGGCAGCGAACGAAAGCGGAGTAACGTGCTCGGCTAGGACTTCAACTTTGTAGCTCTTTGCTTCTTCGTGTTTCACGTCACGGTCTGTTGTTGTTCAGTGATCGACGTTGTGCAGTGACGACGGAAGATGCAGAATCAAGAACCGCAATTGTCGCAAGTCACCGTACCGCCGCCGAAAATGCCAGCTTCATCAAGTAATGGATCTTTCACAATTTCCAATTCATCCGGTAAATTCCGATTAACCGGGATTAACCTTCTGTTCGATCGAAGCCGCTTAAGTATATATTTAAAGAAACAGAAATGATAAGTTTACTATGGACAACGTGAAGTCGTATTTCGTGCATTTTTCTTTAGTTTTAAATGTAGGTGCGGTGATGGGGTTGAAGATGTATACTCTTGTCTCACTTAGGACAATCACTTTATTTGATCGAAGAGTCCCTGATATAATCGGAATTTACTATGTTAACAATACTATTTCTCGTTATTTTCTCATATGACTCATATGGTTTTCATATCGGGATGAAATTTTGCTTTGAGGAAAATGTGGAAATGCCGTTTTGAAACGAACGTTATACTTCCTAAGTTCGACTTACTTCTCTACCTGGTGAATTAAAATGTGCATGAAATGTTGGGAATGAATTCACAAAAAATGCGATCCCAACCCGGAAAACAAACCTAGTATTTCTCCATGCCGTATGAAACGTCTTAAATAACAAAAGTTAAAGATTTGCGACATGTAATTTAAAGTCAAACGAAGTATTTAATATGGGACGAAATACTTAAAATGCTACTTGAAATCAACGACTGCTTTTGGTAAAACCTTTTGGTAAAATTGAAAAAATATTAAATCCAGAAAAAGAATATATTAGGTCTATTAGAGCCTATGTATGGTTTTATTAGAGTAATTAATAATAATTATACTGAAAAATATATAATCAGTAATATTTCTATCAGTAAACGACAAAACGTTTTTATCTTAAATTGAATCCTCTTCAGTGACGTCGGAAAAAAAGAATGGGTCTACAAAGTTCAACTACAATTTACATATACGAGAATTTAAATCAGCAATCCATCCGCGCAATACAAACAATAAACAGATATAACATCAATATTACAATATCAATCGTACATGTATTACACATAATAATATTTACCAGTCAATATTTGGAAATTTGAAAGAGAGAGAGAGAGAGAGAGAGAGAGAGAGAGAGAAATATTTATTAGGCGCTTCTAGGAAAACTCCTCTGAAGCGCAACGATAAATAATAAATACATATAGTGGTGACATAAGAGACATAAGATAAGATTTAAAGTAAATATTTTCCTAACAGCTGGTAAAGTATATACAAATTCATGATTATGATCATACATTTTTAAATGCTATATCATTGTATTTAACTGAAGTTTACGTTAAAAAAACGGCAAGGACGGAGGTTAAACGATATCGGGCATATCAGTGTACTGCAATAAAATTCGAAAGGATTGAATGACTTTAAATATGATTTTCTCAGAAGCAGTTGAGTCGAATTATCGTGCACTTCTCTTTTCAGCAGGAGACTATAAAAAAAGTTTTTAATTCTCCAGTATTATTAACATAGTAAATTCCGAAATTATTGAAAGAGAGAGAGAGGGAGAGAGAGAGGGAGAGAGAGAGGAAGGGGGAGAGAGAGAGAGAGAGAGAGAGGGGGAGGGAGAGAGAGAGAAGGGGAGAGAGAGAGAGAGAGAGAGAAAGAGAAGTCATGAAATAAAATTGAAATAATATAACTGCCTTTTCTGGCGACTCCCAAATGTGCTCTCCTTTCATTCTATTAACGTTTAGTAAAAACTTACAAAAGTCCACAAGCGTCACTAATCGATTTGAAAAGACACAGCGTATAACCCTTGTAAATTTGCAAAACCGCAGGTTTGCGAGAAAAACTTATAAATTACGCACAAAGAGAGACACACGTCGTAGAAGAAAGGTAAGATGAAAAGTTGACAAATTATCTTAAGAAATAAAAAGTCAATGTAAAAATATGTAACATAGCATCATTGGACGTAACATATTGTTAGAAAATAAAATATCATCAAGCATGAAAAAATATTATTATTCAAGCCCATAGGGATATGGTGATTCTCTGAGTTTTTCTTTATGTTTAAAATTTTTTATATTTAAAAACTATTTTTAAAGAAAGAAAAGGCTTACCAACCTTTCGGACCGGAAACTTTCTTCTTTATCTCAGTCGGACAGTTTCTTTATTAAGTATGCTAATACAAAAAAATGTGTTCTTCTGTTGTAACGGCAATGCTCCTTCAAAAAGAAATATGAAAGTTTAGGGTTATATATAATGTTTACCATGAAATAAGAGCATAGTCGCGTTAATCATAGTAGTACCGATTTTCATGGTGCCCACCGCGGCATGCTAATGTTATCTCGTGTGAAATAACAAACATGTGGTCTTTAAACGTAGCGCGCGATTCACCGTGCATTTAAACGATTCATCCCCGGGCGCGGCTCATCCATGAGAAAGTAACGACAGATGTTTAAAACGACGCGGCGAGAACGAATCACCGAGCTAGGCTAACAGGTTGTCGCGGGTGGTTGAATCCATCGTTATTTGATTGCCAATCAGTGCACCGAATTAACCAGTTAAAAATTATAACAGGCGATTGAAAACTTCATAGGCGTACTTTAAATCGTAAAGTTAAGTCGTAAAATTATTTAGTTTACCTTTTTATAGCTTGTAAGAATAATTGATGCCTTTAATACAATCAAACGTGTATAGACGTAAATTTACAATTCGGACATCTGGCTATTTTCAGTTTAAACAAACAAACAAGCGATGGTAAAATAATAATTAATAATAAAATAGATCAATAATTGACAATGAAAATTAAAATAAATAAACAATTGCGTTAGTGGTGTAACAATGTAAGTTGCGTTGATAAAAGAAAATTTAAGACAAATGATTGATCAAAACAAGTCGGATAGCCGAGTTAAAAATTTTTAGAAGAAGATTAGAAAGGATTTATAGGAACAATCTTATCTCCTAAAATTTCTGTTTTAATATTAATATTATCCATATCATTTTTTTCCAAATTTCTTACAATGAAATCTTTGTTAAAATGAATGAAAATTTATTGAAAGCGATAGTTAAAATACTACCGTTCAAAATCGCAAGAATGAGTATTTCACTCAGGTTTAGAGTAGATTCTGACTTTGTACAAGTAAATGTTTCAATCGATTAGAGTGAATTTGTTCCTGTGATGGTGGAATACGTCAGATGAATTCTTCAATTTCGAGAGGAATCTTCATTCGACGATTCGGAGAGGAGAATTCATTCTACATGAACGAAGAATTGGCTCGAATCAAATCGTCTGCCGTGACTCTACATTTTCATTTTCACATTGAATTTCATTCCAAAAAAATGTAGACAGTTGCAAATCCAGGGAGTGCGTCGATAAGACAGATGACGTATCGACGCCACGTTATGGGTCTGGATTAATTATACATGTGCATACGTGCGAGCGGCTGGTTCTTCACACATGTCACTACATTCCCATGCTCGTTTACTGTGCACACCTGATGGCCCGTAAAATAACAGAATAATAATTAGGGTAATAAATCATTCATCTCCGCTAATATGCCGAATGAGCTCCGATACATTTCCAGCCCATATTAAAAATAATATCCTTCCAACATTTTCACGTCTACGCACAATTCTTATCAAAGTTTCTCTTCACAGAAGAGAATTTATTCTTTTACTAATTATTTTAAGATAGTAAAAAACATTTAACGTTGACATATCAGTAGTAATTTTAAATTACAATATCAAATTTTCGTACCATTACAATATCAAAATTTCGTATATTTCGCACGAGAGGAAAACGTAAAAACGGGACTACTGCGAAATGAAAGGAAAAAAAAAAGAAAAGTTCGACGGCGGTATTGCGGTTTTTATAAGCGAAATTGGCGTCCAAACGTCGCCGGGCATAAGGCGAGTCACGAGGCGCGCGTTTCATGCTCCGGGACATTGAAATATCACCCCCGTGCAATTATATTCGAGAAGTTCGTAATTTTGCACGCGAGACTTCGGTCGGAGAACACTTCTGCGCGCCGCCGTCGGTCCTCGCCAGGTCGCGCGCTCGCCGTCTCTCTTTTTCACCCCTTGCATGCGAACCCGCGCACACCACCAGCTGGGGATGAGCGCGCTACGACAAACTTTTACCTTAATTTTGTGGTCACGAACACGCCGCCGCCGGCGCTTTCGGGAGAGAAGGAAAGAGAGAGACACCGGCGTCCGCGAGCGCGGAGAGCCACGCCGTCGCCGTCGCTGGCCCGGTGAATCACATCCGGCCATGTTCGCTCGCGCCATCCCTCTTCTCATCCCCCCCCCCCAACCGTTTCTCGATCCACCTTATTCTCCCCCGCCTCCCCGTCGAATTTCGGCGAGTTTCGGATGTTCCATGTGCGGTTTATTTCGGGAACGAAGTTTATTATTCTGACGTGGCGCGCATAGGCAACTTTCGTCGTCGGTACGTCGCGCGGTCCGAGTGAAATAATTGATACCGGCGGCGGAAACACACATGCTCGCGCTTTAGAGCGATACTTACCGCCGTGCGTAACGGCGAACGCACGATTTTACATTCCCCTCTTGCCGCTACAGGAGCCACACCTCCCGCCCGGTATAATGACAGTATTTTTCGCATATACGCGCGCATTCACGCGCCTCATCAAAGATTCACGAGATTTTTACAACAATTTTCTAAAGGGACTTCCTTTCCCCCTCCTCCTCCTTCTCCGATCTTCTCCGTCCTTCTGTCTCTCTCTCTCTCTCTCTCTCTCTCTCTTTCTTTCTCTCTTTTTCTCGCTCGGACTTTGGCGAAAGGACGGAGGAAGAACGGAGGAAGAACGGAGGAAAGCCCGTTTACCGTGCGATTACCGCATATATAGAAATCGCGTGAATAATTAAGGCGGCACGTGACAGAGGAAAGATCATCGGCGCCCGGCAAAATACAGTGGTCGATTCCGCGACAAATGAAAAATTCAATCGCGAATGTCGACTCGCGCGCGCCGACCAAATGCAAATTTCATGCAGTCGTGTGTGACGGCGAGTGCAGAAACGCACGTTGCGTGATTCCGATGCGCGCGCGCGAGTTCCGAGTTTCCCTCGCGAGAGCGAGGGGAAAAAGGGACATTCCTTGCTGCGGCGAGGGTGCGCAGCCCTGTCATTCGGACGCCGCAACCCGTCTGCTTGAACATGTGCGCTGCACTTTGCGCATTACCGTGCCTCCTCGTTAATGATTTATCCCCAGGAACACACGGAGGCTCGCTCTCTCTCTCTCTCTCTCTCTCTCTTTCAATCACCGCTGCCGGAGGGAAAGAGCGCCTTTTAATCGTGGATATCAGAAGAAACGAATAACAACCCCAGGGAAACGGCGATTTATTACTGAGAATCGGGGTTACGCACAGCGAAAGCACAGCGAGCGATATAATCAAGTGTCACACTTGAGGAACAACGAGGATTACGCGATGAAAAAGAATTACAGATAGAAAGCACCGGAGGAAACAAGTTTTGCTACAATAGCAAATGCTTTGTCAATATAGTGACAGCAGAAAATTTGTTTGGACAGCGGAAAGATTTGTTAAGAGTATTAATTGCTATTCGCTGGATACACGGACAATTAATACTACCAACAAATCTTTCCGCTGTCCAAACAAATTTTCTGCTGTGTAAATAAATTTTTCTTTCGTTGTCACTGTATTAAAACACATTCGTTGTCCTAGCAAAATTCGTTCTCTCCGTGCGTTCCGATTCTCCAACGAATCAGTCTCTCTTTGTCCACCTTTATTTTATTACTTCACGATACCGTCTGGGGTGAAAAGCTTCGGATCTTCAGTGAAATATCTTATCATTTTGCCGAGCAACATCAAGTAACGGACGGTGCGGCCCGCCGTGAGGCCAGTCGCCGAGAATCACAGGGTACAGATCAACAGGTTGTTGCGCGGTATTTATCACGGAACGTTCTCGTTTTAAGGGATTGAAGAGAACGCGCTGTCCGCGTTCTTGTTCTTGCGCGCCACTCGTCATCGGCCATAATAAGTGACAGAGATAAAGAAACCGACGGGCTTGATCGAGGGAGAGATCGGGACCGATACCGGGCGAAGTGTCGTGTTTCTGGCTGCTCACTTAGGGCTGCTGAATGCGGCAGCCACATCCGGTCCATTCAGGCCCATTCACGATCTTGTCGAGCTCAATGGCGTAGGCGGAGCTCATGACAAGGAGTTGGTACCCCATTGCGAATGCGCACCCCCGTCGCCCATCCAGGCAGATCTCTCTCTCTCTCTCTCTCTCTCTATGTCTCACGCGCCTTGTGCCTACCGAGGAACTAACTCCGCGACAAATCGATCCATTCAGATTCGACGTCATTCAGCAGGCCTCGTGTTGTCGCTGGTAAACGGGTTCTAACCAAAATAGCAGCATTCTCGCCGACTGAGATTAACGCGTCCCTACCATCGATTGTCGCCGACAATATCGCGCTTATTCGTCCATCGGCTACGGCTCTTTCGCAGAACGCGAGAAAGTTGAAAGTTGACACGCGAAGCGAGGACGGATTGACGAGGGGATGTAGGAGCGTCTGTCCTCGGTGTGTGTGTGTGTGTGTGTGTAGTTCCCGCTCAAGTTGCGGAAATCGCTGAAAAATGTCTATCAGTCGCAGAGTCAAATTGCAGCGCCGTTACTTTAACACGTTCGCTACCAGGGTCTGAGAAGAAAATCTTGCATCACAGTCCAGGATGTTTTTTGTTAGAATATGTTCCCAATTTACATGAGTCTTTTTAGGATATATTTATAATATAAAAATATAATTATCTCTAGACCAAGGACATCCTACATCTATTTTATTGTTTTTAGCTCAACAATACTGTCCATTTCCAAATTTATTGCAATACGTTATCATAAACTGATAAAGAATACGCACCGCACATCTGCGGCAGTGAGCTCAAATACAAGAATCGAGACGCCGCATATACACCACACATCTGCGGCGGTGATAACAAATGTGTTAAGCTAGAGTCGTCCGCGAAGTTACACTGAAAGAAAAAATATTGCTGTTAATATTTACTTGGCGACCTCAAGTTAAACGGTCGTTCCCAAATTCTTTTAAAAATATTTACTGGAAATAAAGAGAAATATAACTGACTAAGTGCAATATAATATTTCCTTCATAAAATAAATATTTACTTGTATATGTTAGAACGATTGTGACAAGTATTAAGTTCATAATATTGAGAATCGGAATTTATTTTTAAAAAATATTTACTGGACAGAAAAGTCAAAATTTAAGAAGCCACTAGGTTTTTTTTAATGGAAAGGAAGTATAATTCTATTAAATACTATCTTAAGTTTAAAACCGTTTTACAGTTACATCTAGTAATTCATTTACAAATTAAAGTGTTAATGCGTTTAAAAATAAGTATTTCTACAACCTGTTAAAATATACTTAAGTTGATAAAAATATTATTTGTGGCTTAAGAAGCTGAAAAACAGGTAATTACGTTTACTTGATTCTACCACTTTCTTTCTGTATATCCTCGCGAACGAACGAATAAATCTTTTATTTTTACATGTTTTTTTCTCTCAGTGTAGTAATAATAAATAATTTAGACTTCCGCGACGTGGAGAAATGCTTAATTCGATTTTTAATTTAGTGTCGCGTCTTTTGTGGATTTGTTTCCGACATTTCGTGAACATTTCAGTTCGCTTCTTCAGAGAGTTTCGAATCATTCTTGTTCCTGAAGACTACGAACCGGAATGTTTATGAAACATCGGAAACAAATCCAAGGAAAACGTGGCAGTAACTCGGGAGCCAAATTAAACAACACCAATATCTGTTCAGTGTGATCTGCTTTCAGGTCGCATTCTTTACGACATCCCCTGCAAGGTTTGCAGAGATCACTCTTCGGGCAAGCATTACGGTATTTTTGCATGCGACGGATGCGCCGGTTTCTTCAAAAGATCGATCAGGAGAAATCGGCAGTACGTGTGTAAAGCGAAATCCGAGGGGGGTTGCATGGTAGACAAAACCCATCGTAATCAATGTCGTGCTTGCAGATTAGCGAAATGTATTCAGGCCGGTATGAATAAGGATGGTAAGATATGTCATGAATAACATCATTATAATTACGAAATTAAAAAGAATAGGACTATAATGAACCAAGTACGCATTGTGTAATGCTACGAGAATTAATAACTTTGTGAGAGAAAAGATTAAGATCTAGCTAAATCTTGATTAATAATTTTATTTTATATAATCTTACTATATAATTATAACTATTTTTTATTTCTAGAAAATAATTATAATTATTTTTTTATTTATTCTACGGATGAAAATTCACATAATTCTTTGCTTTATTTTGAAGTACTTTGTCTTCTAGTCCATTTCGTATGTACTTTTTAAAAGATTACTTTTAAAATATTCATTTTTCTCTTGCAAAATATTTGTAAGTATTATATAAGTCTCCTACAAGATTTTCTATATTTTCTATTCGCACACGTTTTTTGTCCACGATGTTTCCAAGTGATCACTGTGTAACTGTCATTAATCGTGTCCGATATTGTTTACTTCAATAAGCTAGTCAATTTTTCATATGCAATCAAAGAACTGTCGATTTATTTTAACGGACCGTAGAGTCAAAATTCATTGCGAATTTCTGTACTGTTCTTGTTACAGCTGTGCAACATGAACGGGGTCCGCGGAACTCGACGATTCGCAGGCAAATGGCTTTATACCTCAAGGAACCCGAAGTAATAATGCCGCCAGCGGCTTTGAATCTGGCTTTACCGAAACCGTCGGCTGAATCGCGCGTTTCCGTGGCTGCACCGCCGACCCATCCCCCTTTACCGCATCCTGTTTATTGCAACGCTTTAGCGATGTCGAAAGTAAAATCTGAATATTCTTCGTCTTATATTGAGTCGATGCAAAAGTTCGTTCCATTTTCATCAAATCTAATCAAAATCAACATGAAACATTCACTTGTTTGAAAATATAATAAATTAATTAGAAAATTTTTAATTATTTTCCTCGCACATTGAGAAATGTTCCGATTCATTCTCGCGCGTAAAAACGTAATTTATAACTCTTCCCAACAAATGAGACGTAAACTTTGCAGAAAAATGAATATCCCGTCGGAGTTTTCAAATATATTCGCCGTTTTGTTCGATGACTTGCCATCTGTCCGGCGGTTGCATGATCTCGCGCTCGTAGAAATTTCAGAATTTCTGAAAAAATAACCAATTAAGCGTCCTAACTACGGAAAACGTACATACCCTAAGAAAGTTGACGTTCATTTACGAAGAGCGTATACACATATATACACGTTTAATAAATTTAACTCAACATTTATTTTCTCACTAAAAGCTTGTCATCTGAAGTGCGCCGAAAGACTAAGAAACGGAACGAACTTTTACATCGGCCCAGTAATATATCGTTACAAAGAAGAAAGCCGCACGAATAATAACCCGAAAATCTCCCCCCTCAGTTTCCGCTAAACATGGCGAGTTTCTCGACGATATCGCTAATGCCGCCGATCACCTCGGAGTCGATCTGCGAGCAAGCGGCGCGGATACTCTTCTTCAACGTGCACTGGACGCGAGACTTGGTGACGGGCACGAATCTTACTCTGGAGGACCAGCTGACGCTACTGGAGTCCTCCTGGCGCGAACTCTTCTTGCTGGCCGCCGCACAGTTAATGCCAACTCTCGACCCGACGCCGTTGCTGCCGCCGACGCCGACTACTCACAGCATCGAGTTGGCGGTCGAGGTGAATCGCTTTCGCGAGACTTTGGCCGGCTTTCACGGGATGAGCCTGGACCATCAGGAGTTCAGCTACATCAGGGCGATAGTGCACTTCAAGGCAGGCCTGGACTGCGAGCCGGTCTCCAGCGGCCACAACAACGGCAGTGACACCAGCTCGCCCGGCGTCGCGAATCGGCTGAGGAATCCGTCCGCGGTGGCGCGATTGAGGGATAGTGCCCAATTGGCGTTGGGCCAACGGCTGAGCGGTGCCTCCTACGGCGTCCTCAGGTTCGGCAAGGTACTACTGCTCTTGCCCTCCTTGCGTTCCGTCTCCGCTGACGCCATCGCCGAGCTCTTCTTTAAGAGCACGATCGGCGCGATCCCGATCGNTTGAACGTCTCATCCCTCCCTCCCCCCCCTCCTCCCCCTGTAAAGAAAGTTCCCGCAAAGTAACTTTTGACACCTTAGACTAGAAAGGGATATACACATACTGGTGGACTGTTATTTTTATATTATTGCGTTGAAATAAAACTGTGCGAAGTGCAGCAAATGCGGTATTAAACTTTGTCGAGAGCAACGTCAGAATGGGTGTTTAACTTGTCTAGATAGATTGGAGAAAGAGTGGAGATATTTATTCGCGACCTGGGTTTCTCTTCGAGAGCTAGGAAAATAGTGAGTTATAGTGACGAAGAATCAAGAGTCGTCAGGGGCAATATAAAATTATATAGCGCCGAGGATTTCTCGATTTGCATACCTCATTCTTTCTGGGATTACGTCTTGTACGAAATGAAAGTGAAAAGTGGTGGTCGTTATTCGACACATTACCGTGTAGTTATTATTTATTAATTAAATGTTAATAAATTATTTTACTTATAGTATTATCAACGCGACCATGGTAATAGTTATAATAATATTACGTTGACTATTGTTGACTATATTGACTATCCCTTGGCAATACCGGTGTGTGGATCGGTGAAAACAGATGTGTGGATTAGCATACCTGTGATACCTGGAACGCGCTGTTTGCTGCGCTTACAACATCTTCTTTAATTAATATCTCAATAACTAAAACACTATTTGCAAAATGACACGAGCCTTTCCTCTTCAGTTTAACGCGCTCTATTGATAGTTCTGTTACACACGGTGTATCACGGTTTGAATTCAGATACTCCGTATATTATTATAAAACAAACCATAAATATTATTATACTTGTATAAATATTATTATACTTGCTATATATTTTGTTTTCATGAAAATCTTCTCTGTCTCAATATCTTCTCTCTTGTTAATTCCAAAAAGTGATGAGATATGCAAATATCTTTTTTTATTTACTGTATATGAGCGTGTACATATAAATGTAAAAAGGAAGGTGTAATTTCGTTATACAATTATCTTATTCAAATGGCTACTATATAAAACATTTAAATAGCTGATAGACTGTAAAATAATATCTGGTGCATAATAAAGCACGTATGTTAGGGTGGATCAAAAATATAAAATATTAACGTAAGTATAAAATAGAAGAAATTTGTTGTCGAGTGTATACATTTGGTATATGTTTACCGGACATTAACGTCTAATATTTCCTTGTGTTTTCAATACACCCTAACATGTAAAGATAGAGCTTTAAAAATAAATAAACAATATACATGTTATTTCCGATTTTATTTTTATTCGTTCAACGTTAACCTATCATATGTGATTTTTTCAAATATACAACTCATGTCAAAACTGTGAAACTTTGAGAGACCAAAAATTCATTGTTGAAACTTGAGTTATCAGATATACAAATTAATTCTTTATTTTTTTTTGCAACATTCAAAATTTATCTGTAATAGTTCAAGAAAGACTAATCAATAAAATAGTCTCCGTCATTTTCGATGACGTTAAGCCATCTATCGAGCAGCTGACGAATCCCACTACGATAGAAATATGTGGAAGAACATATCAATAAATCATATATCATCACAGAAAGAAACATTTTATCTTTACATATATAAACAAAAACAAGAAACATTGACTTTTTCTTATTATTTGTATTAAATGTACAGTCGAGTATTATCCCGTAAATTCATTTTTCCCAAATATTATATAATTAACTGAACACTAAATAAAATATTTTATTGTTATTAGATTAGACATGGAGATATTTGTCCCGACGATAAATAAAACGAATGAGATGAAAAGATCTGTTGTAAAAATTTGTACCGGTGGATGAAGAGGGCGAAAGCCGCTGCGAAAATTTTACCTGACTGTCGACCGGGAACACAATGCGTCGCGTTTTACGGGAATTTCACGGTGATTTGAGAGATAATCGGGCACACAAAGGAGGCCCGCGCCGATCAGTCGGGCCTGTCGATGTATCTCGAGACGTATTCTTTACCGCGGTAGACCAACATGTAATCACCAGCTCGGATAAATATTCGTCGGGCTGTATAACCTGTGAAGTCTGTGTCGATGTCTTTGTCGTCGACCACGGCCGTCACCACTACTTTTGGAGACGTGTACGCTGTTATTTTTGACGATGATCCTGGATTTCGTGATTCTTCCCAAGGTTTGCTTCTAGTTACATCGCTTCGTATTGCCAAACGGACTTTTCCATCGTTCCTTTACATCCCAATTCGTTCTGCTTTCTCTATCAACAAGAAGAAAGAACTAGAAGAACCGGAGTAATATCGTAAGGCAACGTTCTTGAATCTTCAGATAATGTGTTCAAATATTGCTGGTTTATACGTAACCGTATGTAAGATTTGATAAAGATGCCGATATTCTTTTTCTTATGTGTATCCTTTGTTTCTCTTATTTAAAAGTTATGCGAGAAAATTATTCGATATATATATACACACACAAATTAGAGAGTTGCTATTTGTCAGTATGCGCTTATGTTACGACGCGCTTGAGAAGTGTAAGAGAATGTTCTCACGAAATTGCGAGATGCGGGACGCGTGGAGCATATCGACGCTCGCTCCAACTGTGCTTCAAGAGACTCTCGTCATTCGCATGAGCGAGTTCACGAATGTTGCCACTTGTCAGAAGTAGTGTTTTCTTACCCCTAAATATGTTTCTGTCGATGTACACGTCCTAATTCGCATTCTTTCATCAGTTCGAGGTGAGTACGGACTACGAGTATGTACGTGATATACACGTGTGAGAGACACGTGTGAGTTTCTTCAAACGTCAAAAAGTTCTAACAATGTACGAAAATTACTTCTGCAATTAGTCTAGGTGTACTCTCGCTAAATAAACCGGCTGACAAATTTCGTATCACGTAATTGACTAGAATTGACGGTTTTAGATCCAGGGTATAATTTTTGTCGATCAGTGATATTTATATCGTTTCTTGCCTGTATTTTTTCTAACGTCGTTCTTTCAAATATTATTGTGAAACACGTTTTTAATAAAGAAACGGTAGAGTTAATCTTTCTTTCCTTCTAAGCAGATTTTAGGATGGAATCTTTGTACATCACCGCAAAGGTTTTAAAAACTCAAGATTATCACGTAAAAAATGCGACTCCTAACTACAAAGTTTATCCGGATGAAGTTGTTCAAAGGATTGGATTATTTGCCCAAGTATAATTTGTCAGCTTACAATGCCGGAAACTGGAATTCACTCTATGAAGATTTCGCCACTCAGCCGAGCGTCGGCTACCGCTTATTCTAAAGTCCCTATACAAGGTCTATCTAAATCCGATTTTCAGAAACTGGAAATGTATTTGATTGCGCGGCGTTTGTGCCGCCTTTTGTTTTGTTTGCGCCGAAAATATCGTATTTTGAAGATACTCACAAGGGATGCTCTGTCGTTCTCAAGATATTTTTTTCTGTAAACATTATATATTAATACGGACGCGAAAAATATTATACATCGAAACGCGAAAAACGACTATATCTGAGTTTATAAATGAGTTTATATATGAGTTTTTAGGCATATGCTTCATTGATATTCTCTTGTTGTAGTGTCAGAGCTGTATATCATAAATCATATTTACAAACATTATTACAGATTCGTCGTGAGCTTCTTCGTGTGGTACTAACCATTACCTTTCTAATAATATTGTCACGGAGCCAATTACTTTAGCACTTTGACGTTGAGATTATTTGCAAACGGGGGAACGGGCGGAATCGTCGCGGTTACATAATCATCGGGCTCTTCGGGAGCGACGAAAGGGGTGCGCGAATTGCTCGAGAGAAACGGATAGGCGCGTCATCGCGACGTCCAATTAACATCTCGATTTAATAAAACTCTCGAGGCGCCGTATGTTACGATTTCCCGTACAAAGTGTCCGCCGACAGAGAGAGCCCGCTCGCCCTCCCTGTATTCGAAGGGGTGCTGCGCTCTCGTAGCCGAGAAGGCCAACGCTCTTCAACAAGTAACACTGTAACGTTTCCGGGCGAGTGAATAATAATCCCGGGACTTCTCAACGACGACGAGCTACTCCGGCGGCCGACGACTGCAACAATGACGGTAACAAGGCGGCGCATTGTAACGTTACAGGCGGTAGTTCGCGACGCCGTGGAATTCCTCCGGCTAAAATAAAAGTCACTCACGCCCCATATAAACCTGGTACGTATACTTGAACATTGTACATTGGGCAGTGATTTGCTCCGATATTGTATTATTATCTATTATTGTATTATATAATATATTACATATTATGTATTATTTTTATATATTTTTAATACATTTTATATCATATACTTTATATTTAACATATTTTATATAATATATGTGGATCTATAATTAAGAAAAGAATATATCTTGTATCATTATCATATTTTACATTATTATATTATCAACGCGCATATTACAATTAAAATCATATTCGGATCATAGATTTATAGGAAAGTTTAAGTTTTCACAAATTTTCTTAGTACCATCTGAACAATCATAAATACCATAGCATGTTTATTAAAAATGACAGAAGAAATTCAGTAGAGGAGCTGTTCAAAATTGTTTGAATGATCCACAGATTTGCGCACACGATGCTGGGAAGTACGACGAGGTTCGGCGTGTATGTGTAAAGGTTCGTAGTGTCGATGATCTCTCTCTCTCTCTCTCTTTCTCCGCGAAATTTTACGGGAGGGAGGGGACACGTTACAAACGATGTCGGTGTGCAGCCATGTGTTACATGTACGTGCAAGTGGTTCCCACCGGTGGTGTGTCAGACAGCACCTTGCCGCAGCGCGCCGCGACGAAAACACGTGGCATAATTCAAGAACGCGCGGCTCATTCCGGTGAACAATGCTGGAAACAATAACGCCGATCTCCCATTACTCGCTTCCGTTGAGTATCGCCGCTAGGTATCGCCGCGGCAACAGTAACAAAACGCGGCCGAGGTACAATAGGGCGACGATGTAATTGCGTCCTACAGTGGCGGCCGGTGCTCATACTGTAC